GATCCTATTAGCCCTTTAGCTAATAGCTACAATGTAAGCCAAATGACCCTGAGTGAATCTGGGCTTGATCTAATAATCACAATTGCATTTTGTATTTTAATTTTAATTTTTTTTTACAAATTCAAATCACTTAAAATTTTGAGTATTCCAGGGGTATTTTAGTCAATTTATTTTTTATGAATTATATTTTAAATATTTTTATTAGGTGCACGTTGATGAGAAAAATGGGTGCCTAAAATTTCATGTGATTTGGATGGATAGAAAAAAATATTAAAATTATATTACAAAATGAGGTCATGACTGGCAAAATGGCCCAGATTCATATATATCACAAGAGCTGATGCAATAGTATACGCCCAATGGCCCAGATAGGATCTGGGTCAATCTGACGATTACAATTATATTTCGTATTTGAATTTTACTATTTTTCTACAAATCCAAGTTACTTTAAATTTTAAGCATACACTTTTCTCATTAAGGAGAACCTAATAAAGATATTACAAAAATAATTCACAAAAAATAAATTGATCAAGATACCCCTAAAAGAATAGATACTCCAAATTTCAAGTGATTTGGATATATCGAGAAAATTAAAATTCAAAGAGGAAACATGATTGTGGCGTCCTATATGCCCAGATTCAATTTAGGCCGTTGAGCTTATACTATTGCATTAGACCTTTGGCTGACACATTCTTTTATATATACATATATATGAGCAAGGCGAAGCTAAGCAATGTATGATCACTACTTTGGTACCATGTTATAATAGATTATCTTATGAGAAAGGGTGAAAGAACGTTGGCCTACACAATAACGTTCAAGGAGTGAAACAACACAATTACCTTTCCAGTACCGGTTCATATATTTTATATGTGTAGTACTAATAAAAACCTCCTTAGTACCTTTTATGTTGTGCACTTCAATCATATAACATAAACATAGTACAACGCCTACATAAAGGACAGATATGCCCTTGTGGACTACATCTGTCTATGTTGTAGCATGATCCTTGTTCCTAACAATTCTTAGAATCTTATATAGTTCTAAATCATAATAGCATTAATAAGGGGAAGTTAATCAGTCAAAAGATATTTTAATCACTTTGAGAAAAAATTGGTGTTATTTTTTTTCTTTTATTGGAAGTTCACAAATAGACCCAAAATGCAATTGGCCCTGACCTTTTTTTGTGGCTTTGATAGACAGCTCCGAACCATCTTTCGAGAAGGTAGATTCCTATCGGCATGCTCAAGAGAATACCGTAACATATCCAGTATCACCAATTGGGTTTCTTCATCACAATTATCTGCTACGAAGAATAAATAAAACATTAACAAAATCATCACCAGCATATTACTTCGAAAATATGTTGAGGGAGGAGTTTAAAATGTAGTACCAGGGATATCAAAAATTTGTTTATCTGGTGGAATGCCTAGCAACTCTCCTAGATACATGCAAACTCGAACACGGTCATGTAATTCAAGCTCATTACCATGAGTAACAACCAACACAGGTTTGTCATCTGTACATTCTCAAGGGGTTAGTGTGGGCACTTAACCCAAAAAAAAAGAAAGAGGGGTTAGTGTGGGCATCTCGAGCAAGAGCATGCGCTACAAAATCTTCTTTTGGATCAGAGTAAAATGTTACATGATATACATATGTATAAAACAAAAATACACATAAAATGGAATTCTCATGAAGTTCTTAATGCATGGCAGTGTAATTTAGCAAAATTTCAAACAATTCTCAAGTCATTGAAGAACTGAGAATGGTCGAGGGTGGACTCCATCATTATGCAATTTCATATCAACTTAGGCAATACAAGTGTCAAAAGTCACCTGCATATGTGATGGAGCACATAACCTACATTGTGAATAAAGGTCTCTGGTAGCATTGTTCACAGATTAATTAAGTTGGAATTATGACATAGTTTGAATTGACTGCACTGTGGAAATCACTTAAGTAGGTCAAGGTAGGGAAAATATTAGATGCATATCAGCATAGGTAATTTTTTGATATTTAAATTGTTCATTGTTACTCCAAAATAATTGTGAGCATTTCAGGAACATCGCCAAGAAATTTCATTTGCTTTTTTCATTTGACGGAGGCATTCTAATAGCTGGAGATCAATTTTACAGACAAAAAGAGAAGTAAAGAAACTGCTGATATGTTAAGGGAGGAACTTTGTTTCTATGTTTACAGGCCCCCTTTCTTGACTCATACATGAGAAATTGCAATCGAACGACAAATAAAACCAAGCAACAGTCAAAAATCTCAAAACATGAAAGATATGGGTATCAAAAAGCACGCAACAAGGCACAATGAATGTGCAATATTGTGAATTCAGGATTAAGAACCTGAGGATCTTTAGCTTCGGTCAGAGGATCAATCTAACAGAAGCTACCAAAAGCTTTCATGCAGATTTGTTGCATGCAACTTTCCTTCCTCCAGCAGTCTTTCCAAGAACAAAGAACCGCTCAATCTCATATGCAGTTAGTGGGATCAGCACCAAATTAGCAATACAATAATTAATGTCAATTAGCTCCAGCAGAAAAGAAACCTTGTTGTTGTTATCAATTTAAGACCTTGCTGCCCCACCAACACTTCCCTTCATGCTGCATAGTGAGACCACTTGCTTAGGTAGCAGCCAATGATGGATTCACTTATATTGATAGTCAAGGTTAGTTAGCCAAGCAAATGATAGCCTTACAAAGAATTACCCGGAGACTAACTGAAAGAAAAGAATCAACAATGGAGATGGCCAGCTATAGATCACAAAGATCACAATGAACTCTAAGAGGCGGGCAATGAAGTGCTTGAGAAGTGAATAAAATCACCCACTAGGTGCTTGAAAAGTGAAGTAAACCACCCACCATTGTTTAACAACTCAACCTGGAATGAGTGGAAAAAATGGCTATGTAAAATTCAAGGGAGTAAAATAAAAAAAATTATCTTTTCTTTTATTAATGAATATGAATTCCACTTACAAGTGCCAAAATACATTCCAACAAAACCCTAAATATAACCTAAGATCTTTGTTTTTACTGCCAAATAGAATAGACACAATCCACGAATGGAAAACAAGCTTCCACTATCAAATTTAGTACAAATAATGTTCCTGAAAATTCAAATAAACAAAGCAAAGAAGACTGAAAAGTAAAAACAAGCAGCCGGGAAGACTTACTAGAATTTGCATAGGGTTGCCCCCTTAAGACTTAGTATAGCCCACACCTAATTTTTTGACTGATGGCACACTCTGATCCTATTGGCCTTGCTGAATTTTATAAGCTAAGAAGCTTCCTTAGATACCTCACAAACTAGGGTTTCTTGGACCCTTTTATGAACCTTTGGGAGCATGCCACTGCGTGGCACCTCCCCTTGACCTAATCCAGGGCAGCATGCCCCCTATTTCTCACTCTTATAGGGTGGGGTGTGCCACCCCTAGAACCTTATGGGGGATGGCATGCCACCTAGAGAGCGAAGGGAGAACAAGAGAGAGGAAAGAAATAGTTGGGTATGGAGGAGGGAGAAAAAGAAAAAAAGAGACTAGAAAATAATCTGTAGAGAATGAGGGGGTCCCCTGTTGGGTGTGTGTAGCCATTAAAGGCCTTACGACTGCTTGTACATGAACTTAGTGATATTATGTGTTTTTTAGAGTAAGATCTACCTGCAAAACTTCAATTGGAAATCTTAGGGGAATCGAAAGAGGGAGCACGCCCCATTTATGGTAGCCTTGATCTCTCTGCCATCTTGTTGTGATATGCTAAAGGATTTAGGGTGTAGAAAGCAGGTGCTACCTCTCTGAACTAGGTTATCTAAGGGGTTCTACCTAAGTTTGAAATTTGTGATTGAAAGGAGTTCTTGTTCCACTAGAGAGTTTAGCCTAAAACTTGTTTTCCCAAGATTGAGATTGAAGGTTGACCATTGATCCCACATCATCGGAAGGTGGTGACTAGGTGTGGGGTATAAGAAACCTAGTTGAGGCAATCTCCGACACTTTCTTTTGTTTCTTGCATATGTACTTATTGTGTCTTTTATTATTCTCATGCATAGCTTGTGTCTTTCTTTTGGTTATTAAAAGAAAGGTTTTATGTGACATCAAGTTTTGAGATCCTAGATTTATTTCTTTTATTTTATTTGAAGTTGATTTTTTGTAAAAGGACTACTTGTGAGTGATCTAAGCCGTGAAGAAAAGAAAAAGAAGAAGAAAAAAAAATATATACTCCGGCTAGATAACACAAGTCCTTCTTTCATCGGTATCAGAGCAAGGTCAATTTGATGCCCTATTTCATTTAGTTTCACTATTTTGCTGAGTTGAAAATAAGATACAAGAAAGCCAATGACCTTTGTGGTCAAGTGATACACTGCTGGAAGAATTATTGGAATATTAAAAATACCGAAAAGGCACTCTGCAGAATAGGTATTCTGTGCTATTTTGGAACAGTGATATGATGAAGATAATGAGGTATTTTTCTACTGCATACTCCAAAGATATTATGTGTTTTAAGAGTAGGATCTATCTGCAAAATTTCAGCAGGAGATCCTAGGGGAATTGAGAGTTATGGACTCAACAATGAAGGGCGTCAGTTCTGACCCTGCAAAATCCAAGAACTGTCCACTGAGTTCCGTGAATTTTCCGCCAATCATTTGATTTTACTTTTAGCTGAAATTTAACTGTAACTCATCAAATTGAGTCTACTTTCAATAAAAAATAATTTCATGAAGAAAACCCTTGCGGTTTGAAAGATATTGTCATTTTATTGAAGCGTGCGCAAGTGTTGTTTTCTGCAACGAAAATTGTTTCAATGACTTAGAAGTCATGATTTTATTTCTCTTAACATAATGTTTTATACCGACACTTTGTTTTTAGACTACCATTCTAAATCTAGTTTCTAATAAATTTATTTGAGAGAAAGATATCCATGGGAAGTAAGGAATAAAAATTTTGTATTGAAGAGAGGTCATCCTGAAATTTCTACAGTTTGGTGTGTTTTCATTGAGATGTGAATAGCTATATCTATGAAGCCTACTTAACAGAGTGAGATGAGGCCTGTAGAAATATATTTGTTGCAATTTTGTGTCTACTTTCAAACAAAAAAGGTTTAAAAAGGAAAGTTTACTATATAGTGTTCATCCTGGAATTCTGCAGTATGATTTATTTTATGATGTGAATGTCACTTATTTATTTCTCTGAAGAAAAGTATTATTTGGGATTCACACCATGATTTTTTGCTTTGGTTTTGAGTCTAGTTTTCAGCAGAAAATATTTCAAGAAGAAATCCTTTGTGAATTGAAAGAAACAAATATTTTATTGAGAGGTGCGTAATCTGATTTTCTACTGAGAAAATTATATTGTAACATGAACGTCACTAAATCGCAGACCCACTGAATGGTGTGATTTAGGGATGGAATTGAGAACTATTTTATATTTTTGAGTCTATTTCAATACTCAAAAGGATTCAGAAAAGATGTGGCATGTTAAGGCACATCTTCGGATTCCTCATAATGGAGACATTTTCTCGTTTAAAAGTTTTATAGTGTGTAATGAGTATGATTTATAATAGTAAAACTTTAGAGAGAGGTAATACAAAGTTGGCGAGCTATGATTCTCTATGTGAAGAGTGTTCGATGTGGGAAGAGTAGAAAGAAGAAGAATCACAACACCTATAAAAGCATCTTGGTTTCTTTGAAATGAAAAAATATATAGAGAGACTTGGTGGCAGCATAGAAACTCTAAAGATCAGTGGGAGAATCGAATTTGTGATATTTGGACGGGATGAAGAAGAGCATTTCTTCACAGTGTGAGAAAGGAAGCGTTCAAGTACCGAAGAGATTGACACTTTGTGACATGTGAAACCAATGACCAATAAATTCTCCATCAGTTGCGTGCTCTTCCAAGATCACAAAAGCTTGTCAACACGTAAAAGCAAAGAATCAAGAAAGCCCGGGTACCACACTACATGGTTTTGAGGTATGAAATCTATCTCACATTACATGATAAGGTCATATAAGGAAAGAGGATTCAGTAACTTTTTATTTTATATTTCATATATTTCTCTAGTTTTATTTGGCTATCTGTTTTATGAATATGTATGGAGTGTATGGACATTAGGTGATAGGTGCTAACAAATTTGACAGAGCTAGTTTATGAATACTCTGTGTTTTTGTGCCTCATTGTGCTTGAGTATGAACTACTTAAGGCAGTGATACACATGGAGATGTGGTTTGATCAAGGACTATGATCTTAAATATGAAACACGAGAGATGGATTTGGTTCATTCAAATATGTAAGCATAAAGAGAGTGTTATGATGGAACTCGATCTTATTAACCATCCTCCCAATAATGTCCAGTAATATGATGTATAGTATGTGATGATGATCTCTTGATAAAGTCTCCACATTTGCCAAAACGATGTATTTTGTCAGATTTTGATAATCATTCTTTAGTCATGTTTTATTTTTGGATAAAATTTATAAAATGATCTTTATGATTTGTTTTTGTGGCCATGAACATGACTTGG